CCTGATTAAAGAAATCACTTGGCTTTGAAGCAGAAAACATTTTGATGTTCTCTTTAACACCTTCCACATTTGCATACGTTTTTCCATTAAGACGGTGTTGCAGTGAACTGAAAATATGGTAATCTGATGGTGCCATAGCTGGAGATTATGGTGGGTGGGAGAGAATTTCCCAACCCAACTCCATGATCTTGTGTTGCGTCAAATGTGCCACATGTGGACGTGCTTTGTCATGGAAAAGAAGAACACCTTTCTGATTGATGAGTGAAAGGTGTTTTGGATGAAGGGCTTGATTTAAACATTCCATTTGCTGATATAGATCTCTGAATTGAAAGTTCGCTGTGATTTGAGGAGTTTGAAATGAATTATTCATTTGATGTCCCACCAAATGCAAAGCATCACTTTCTGTGAATGGAGTCCAGGTTTTTGGGTTGGAAGTGGTTTTTGTCTAGGACTGATCCATTGTTTTTGGCATTTAACCCTTTAACTGCCTTATGCGACTTCAGTCGAATTCCTGACATAGTTCCGTTTACCGGTTTGTAATTTACACCGTGCCTCACCTGTATGGTTTCTAGGCAACCATAATGTATGTAATTTAGTGTAGTTTCCTCGATCGTAAGTGTTATTTTTGTGAAATTCTTGACATTTGACCCAATTTGAGGGCACTGACCAGAACCATGTCAACAGGTAAACGTAAATAAAAACAATGGCTTGCCACAGAAGATGTATTGGGCGAAATTATGCAGGATTGAGACTCATAATTGAGTGAATTTGGTGATGATGTTTGGGAAAACAGTGACACAGATACCAATAATGCTGTAAGTAATGATAATATACATGATATAACACATGGGAACAGTGATGATGATGATGGTAGCCAAGGGGGCTAATGCTGATCATGAGTGGGTCATTGATGATGATTATGACAATTATATCCCAATTTGGTGCCAAGCTTATGCTAATAGGCCTGGCTCTGTGATTTCAACTTTGCCTGATGGTAACCACTCTGTAGATTATTTCTGATTGTTATTCCCTCAGGAAGAATTTGCACTTATTTGTGAGATGACTAACACCTACAACCTGGAGTTCTTTGATAATCCAGCAGACCTTCCTGAAAATTCTCGCTACAATTATTGGGTTGAGTGTACTACAGATGAAATCAAAGCATATGTTGGCTTGCAGATAATGATGGGATTGTGTTCCAAGCCAAGGATTAGTGACTACTGGGCAACTGGGGGTACAGCCCAGTTCCCTGGTTACTGAGATGTACTGCCACGCAATTGTTACCAGCTGACACAGTTCGTTCATTTATTTTGTGAAAATTCTCAAAGGGTTCCATGTGAAGAGGAAGGATATGATCCTTTATATAAGACTGCTCCCCTCATGAACATTTTGGACCCACTGTATAAGCAGTATTACATTCCATGTTGTAAACTTACAATTTACGAATCAATGGGGAAGTTCAAGGGAAGGATATACTTTCATCAGTACATACCGAACAAACCCACACGGTGGGGTATAAAACTGTGGTCATTGTGTGAAAGCAAGTCAGGTTATTTGTTA